ATAAAACATTTTCTATATGGAAAACACTTATTATAACTCTTTTATATAGTATTAAAATTGCAATTTAAATTTTCAAATAGAAATATTTTAATTAATTTTTTACAAGTAACTTCATAAAATAAGAAAAATATTAATTTAGAAAGAGAATAAAGTAAAAAAAAAATTTTTTTTTATAAAAATCAAAAAAAAACAAATTCTTTTTAAACTATACTAACACTTTTCTTTTCTTTTTTTTTTAGAAATGATTTGAATATTAAGATGCTTTGGAACTTTAAGGTAAATATAAGAGGAAAATTTTTCTTTAAATTAAACAGACTCTTGAGAATTTATTTTCATTTCATTAAATTGATACTTATTTCTTATTCCTTTTTTTAATAACAATTTTGAATTCTAATAATTTGACTTGAATATAAAGGTAAAAATGAGATATTTTTTTTATTTCTTTGAATTATTTTTCTTTATTTTTACTTCTTTAAATGAGTTTTAATATAATATAACATAGAAGTAAGTATTTCAATGTAAATATTTTTTCATTTTTTAAATAAGTTTTAATTTTTTTTCTTTATTCTTTTCTTTTTTTAGAATGTCAAAATGCTTTAGAATCAGAATATTAAGATAAATAATCATAAAGAGATTTTTTAATTTATTGGTTAGGTGTAAAAAAGTAAGAAAAATTTTCCTGTTTCTTCAAATTATTAATTTCTTTTTTAAGAAATAGTTTATAACTAGTTTTTTTACTCTCTAAAGATTTTTCAATATATTCTCATATATAGTACTCTGTCTTTTTTCATTTAGTCCATATAAATTTATTATAACATCACTATAATAAAGAGGCAAGCTCAATAATAAGAAATGAGATCTTTCTAAAAATGTTTTGATTAAACATAAAAGTAGATATGAGTTATTTCTTTTTTTTTTTAAAAAAAATTAGTTTTTTTTTTACATTTTCTTTCTTTTTTAAGATCAGTCAGATGTGATATTAGGTATTCAAAAAAAGGAAAAATATTAAACTGATTAAAATAAATGAAAAAAAATCATGTCTATGTTATACTTTACCTCTATATCTAAATTGAAGCATTTCTAATTATTTTTTAAAAAAAGAAAAGAAAAAAATAGATAAAAGTTAGAACTATTTCAAATAAACAAAATAAAAATCTCTCACCTATAAAATACATATACAATATTTGAATCTTTGAATTAAAATATTTCTAAAATTTAAAAACAAAAGAAATAAGTCAGTAATAACTAATAGCTAAAGAAATAGATAAATAAAAAAACTTTTTTCTATTTTGTCTTAAATTAAAGTATCCTAGAAATTTTAAAAATATTCTGAGATAAAATAACTAGAGTTTATTAAAAAAAAATGAAATAATACTTTCAGTTCAGATCAGATATCTGATCTGATCTAAAAATACTATTGATCTTATCTAACTTGAAAAATTAATCAGATTGGATCAAATTAATTATTCAATCTGATCCAATCTGATCTAATCCATTCAGAGCTTTAATTAATATTATGATAATAAATTAAATATCTCAGAAATTTTCTAATCAATTAAAGGGTTATTAGAAAAGTTTTATCATTTTTTTACTAATCTAAGAATTAAAAAGTCTTTAAAATTAGAGAATATTTATAATATAGATAAAATATCTGTTTAGTTTAATATAATTAATAATTATACTATTAATCTAAAAAATAAAAACAGTTCATAATTATATAATAAAAATAAAAAAAAATCAGATTACAGTTATACTTATATATATTATGAATAAGCTTTTCCTTTTTTTATAAAATAAAATTTACTTATCAATATTATTAATTTATTATTATATATGAAATCAAATTTCTTTAATATATATTTTTAAAAAATAAATATTACATAAAAATAAATTATTTTAATATTAAAATTTATATATATTTTATAAAATTAATCTATTTAAAATTATTTAATTTATTTAAATACTTATTTTCAAATATTATATTAATTTAAAATTGTTTATTTTTAAAGGTATTATAATAATAATAAATTACTATTTTTAAATATAAATCAATATTTCAATATTATTTAATTATAAAATATCTAAAGATTTATTATTAAATTACATTTAAAATAATTATTATATTAATATTATAATATTATTTTTAATATTACTTTAATTATAATTTTTATTAATATTTTTATAAAAATTTCTAAGTTTACATAGGATATATTTACTTATTTCATGAGATATATATTTGTCATTATTATTATACTTTTTTGTTTTTAATTTTTACTATTTATTTTAGGAACTTAAAATTTTTTTGATGAAAAATTCTTATTCATCACATATTATTTATTACATAATTATCATATAAATAATTTTTTAATTACTTCATCTTAGTAAAAGTAATGCTAAAATTAGCCATATCATATAATATATATATAATATACTTATTATATTTATATTTTAAAATTATTATCTAAAATGAAAAATATTTTATATTAAATATTTTAATTAAAAATAATTATTTTTTTTAATAAAAAAAAAGAGTTTAATAATATAAATAACTTTTTATAAAACTATATTATATTATATAAAAATTTTTTATAAATCAGGCTTTAAGTATTTTTGATTAAAATAATAAAATCAAAAACTAAAATATAATAAAAATCAAATTTTGTTAAAAAATTTTTAATGCCTAATTTTCTAGCAATCTTTTTATATAATTATTATAAATTATAATTTAACTTTATTTAAAATAATTATTATTTTATTTATAATAAAATTATAAAAATTATATTTTAAAAATAAGTAAATTTTTAATTTTATATATCAAGATATTAAAACTATAATATAATAAATTTATATTGATTAAAAATTCTTAAAAATTTATTATTTTATTATCATTATTTAATTATTTAATTTAATTTAATTAATTAATATAAAAGATTATTAATAATTTTTAAATATTATTTTATATATTAATTATTAATAAAAATATTTATATTTTATAAATATTATAATATAAAAAATAATGTATAAATAATTTAATTATCCTTTATAATTAATTTTTTTATATTATATAGATTATTTCTTCTAAAATAATGATTGACATTTTTAAATAATATATTTAAATTATAAGTTTAATTTAAATTCTAATATTTAAAAAATTAATATAAAATATAATGATAAAATTTAAATCTTATATATATATATACTATAATTTATATATATTTATATTATTTTTTTATAATATCAAATTAGCTTAAATTATATAAATTGACTTTTATTATAATATATAAAATTTTATTGATAAAATTAATTATAAAAATAATTATAAAATAATTAAATTTATATTATATATAATCTTTTATATAATTATTTCATTATTTTTATTCAAAATCTTATAAATTTAATTTATTTGTAAAATATTTCTTAATTTATTAGGATTAATTTTATTAATTTTTAAAATTTGATAAAGATAAAAATTTTTATTTACATATTTTATCTTATAAATTATATTTAAAATCATTATTTATATTTTTAAAGGCTATTAATATTATATTATTAATTAAATTTTTAAAACTATTTTAATCATAAATAAATACTATATAATTAATTACAATTATAGTTTAAATAAAATAAAAGATTAAATATATTTATATAAAATAATTAAAATTAATAACAATTTCTATTACTTAATAATATTTAATATATTTTATAATTTTTATTATTAAAAAATTTTTCAAAAATATAACTTTAATTTTATAATAAAAAAAAATACTTTTTATTTATATTAAACTAAATTATAAATATTATCTTTTTTTATTATTATATAAAATAATAATTATTACTGTAACAGGATTGGATTGACAAATGTGGTGCAGTATATTGTAGATCTAAATGTTAGATATATCAGATATATTTAATATATTTGATATACTAGACATATTTAATATAATTGATATCTTTGACATATCGGACATATTAGATATATTTGATTTATTTGTTATATCCATCTATGTATTAATTTAATATAAATAGAGAGTTATAAAATCATGTAAACAGTAGTTCGCTTTTAGTTCACTTTTAGTTTTCCTTTAGTTTTGCTTTTAGATATACATCTAGTAGTTCTTGTAGAGGCGCCTGGCCTAACATCTCACTTAATACTCTAACTCTTTTGATTTCTTTTCGTATTCTTTCTTATTTTCTTATTTTACTATTATTATCTCTTATCTTTACTTTTATTATTGTCAATAAACGTATTATTATACCTCTGAATCAATCGAGCTGCCTTGCTCCTAGTTTTATCGTGAATACACTACTGTGTAGATTATAAATCTTGAGATAAACTGAATTGAGTCACTACGTAAACTTAAAAAAATTACTACTCAAACACCCCGTCTAACAGTCGCAATTCGCAAGGATTGCATATTAACAATAACTTAAAACTCGCAGAAGAGTTTGTATAAACTTACAACTGAGTTAATTTACAACTTAAGCAAAAAGCTATTCTATTTATATAAAATGAATTTGCTACAGCTAACTACTTGCTACGCTATAAATTAACTAAGTATAGATATATGTCTCAATAAAAATATATTTAAATATAATAAAATAATGTAAATAATATAAATAATAAAAATAATAAAAAGAAATAAAATAAATTACAGATGTTAAAGAAATTACAGATGAAATAGAGTAAATAGAATAAACAGACTGTTCAGAAAATACAGAAGAAACAAGCATATTAGACGAAACAGAAATTATTGCTAATCACTGTTTAGCATAGCAGTGACATCACCTAACATGAGGTTATTGTTAATTGATAAATCTCATGTGATATTTGGAGTTGTAATTTCTTCCGTTAACATCAGGCAGCAGAGGTAAGTAACCAGAGACAGTATTATAAAAAAATCTGTCACTCTCAAAAAAGACTTCTATTGTTTAGAAGCTGTAATATATAATCTTGCCTCAGCTTTTTTCATTATTGGGCCATCAGGTCTATATAGCCAATCTCAGACATATTTTTGAATTACCCAGGATGCTTGATCACATTTTTTATCCTGAAGTTTGTTTTTATGATAATTAGCTTTATTGTAATACTTTCCAGCATATTTCATGCACATTCCATAAAAAGAAGCTGTTAGTGTATTACATTCACCATAAGGAATATGAGTTCGTCTTTTTCAATAAATATGACATCCTTCTTTTCAGTAACATTTTTTTTCACATATACAATTATTAATATAAGTATATGAACAAGAATAAAATGCCATGCCTTTCTGTTATTCTACAAATTAAATATTTTTTGAGGTTATTAAAACAAGATGATATCTAATATTATAAATTTAGATAAAAGAATAAAAGTGAAGAAAGCATTACTAGAAGTATTAGAAATAGCAATATGTCAGAATTTTAAAGAGAGTAATAAATTTATTAGAGATCATCTTAGCTATGTAAAAAAAATGCAATTAGCAGAAAATCCTGATGGATATATCAAATATATTGCAAGAAAACTAATTTCAGATAAAATATCATATAATATAAAAATAAAGAAAGTTCAAATATAGTATTGTTAACGTGTAATTCTTACGAACTATGACTGTTAGACGGGTGTTTGAGTGGTTTATTCTTTTTAATTGAACAAAGTATTTATATTATCACAACGAGTTACGGTTCAACAGTTTGTCAGTAATGTGTATTTGCAAATATTATGTTTATTTATGAGTAAAATAATAATAAAGAGAAAAGGAATAAAGAAAAGTAAAGAAAATAAAAGTAAATGAATAAAGAAAAGAAATGAAACGAAATACTAAACTAAAAGGTGACGCAATAGGCCAGTTGCCTTTAAAACTACTAAAACTATCTTGCCAAATTCCTATCTGTCTCTCTTTTTTATATGAACTAAAAAGCTACTTATTTATATAAAATAAAATACATAGAAAAGTATAACTAACATGTCTAATATATCAATTATATCTAATATATCAACTATATCAACTATGTCAAATATGTCTGATATATTATTATACAAGTTGATTGTGAAGTCTACTGACCGAAAAGTAAACTACAACGCGTATAGTAACGTTTTAGGTATCTGAAGGATAACAATTTATATTAACAATCCTAAAGTCTTGTTGGCGTCAATAGAATTATCAAA